GTGGACAGCCAGATTACACAAAGAATAGTTTGAATAAGGGAGCAGGAGAGCACAATGGAAAGGGCGAGTCTTTTCCCCACCCACGTCCGCATCCTTGATCCTGGCTTGGTGGCCATGAAAGCGAGAACCACAGTAATGGTTTTGGCTAACATACAAGAAACCGCCACTGAGAAGATGATCCCAAAAGCAGTCTGTCGAAGGAGACAGGTCACCGTCATAGGTCTACCAATGAAAAGCAGAGAACAAAGGAAGGAGAGGAGGAGGGAGATGAGGAGGGTGTAGGAGAGGCTGCGGTTGTTGGCTTTGATGATGGGGGTGTCGTGGTACTTGCTGAAGATTCCTAGCACCAAAATTGTGATGAAGGAAAGCACTAGAGCCACACCAGTCAAACTGATACCCAGATTTTCTTCATAAGATAGGTAACTTACATGTTTGGGAATGCATAAAACATGATCTTTACTTGGAGAGCGATCATCTGGGCACAGAAAACAATCATCCATGTCTGGAAAAGCAAGTGGGAATATTAAATCAAGCTATTCTTGGCATTTCTGCATGTTCCCCCAAATAGGCCATTAAAAATATAAAAGAGATCAATATAAAAGAGATCAATTTCCCTCTGCTTTTCTGTTCTGAAATTATCATTCCGTACAGCATATCTTTTTCCAGTGCATGCAAGCATAGCATATGTTAGTCAAGAATGTACAAAAACTCACTTCTAATAATAAAGGTTTGTTCAGTAACACCTTGAGATGAAGTTTTTTTAAAAAAAAATCAGTAAGGAAATTTTGGAATGCAATAATTTAGGAACTTCATGCTTAAAAGCTAAGACTACTTTAAGATTAGATAGCATTTCATGATTGAAGATCCAGTTTAACCCGTCCCTGTCTTCATCTTTTCTATTTCCTATTTTTGGGTGTAGTGGAAATGCTGCTTTCCATTCAGGTCCATTCAAAGTTGAGCCAGGGCAGCTAGACATTGGGATAGATGCATAATATAAAAGAACCTGTAACAACCCCTTCCAGGACAACTTGATTATTCTTACAAATAACCCTAAGAATTACTGGGTTCATGGCCATCATCATCATCATCATCATCATCATCATCATCATCATCATCAAAGAAGT